ATAAATATATGTGTATACATTGTAATGTATATGTTTGAATTATGATGAATGTGGTGAGAATGGAGATATATGTATCTTTATGTTTATATATATATATATATATATATATATATATATATATATATATATATATATATATATATATATATATATATATATATATATATATATATATATATATATATATATATAATTATATGCATTGATTATTATGATAATATTTCTCACCCTTCTGCTGTTTTATGGTGCCCTTGAGGCATTGCAAATTAGGTATGCTGGTGATCCCTTTTGTGAAGTGTGTCTTCATTGTTTTGGTTAGATGACTCTGATATGTAACATCGGGTAGCTAGGAAGCCTTTGGCTCTTTTTGGTGATACATTTGTATATGTATTTTTGGTGATGCATGTTTATGTAAACATGAATGATGTGGATGACTTATATTGGATGATGTGAATATGTATATATGTATATACATGCTGGTTGTGATTCAATGTTTAGATTTTCTGTTTTCATTCTAAATATTGAGATGTGGGTGTAAGGACTAAGTTCCTACGTTGCAAAAGTTACCCCACTGTTGCATATCATATGTTGAGCAGGTGTTTTATGTTTTAATTTCAAGCATAATGTGGCATGCCTCTTTTATACCGTTTTTTTAATTATACTCTTATGGAATTTTTATTATGTGCCTAAATGATTATTTGAATTATTTGGGATATAGAAATGGGGTGTTACACCTAACAGTTGTTTATCCTAGATCCAAATTCGAAAAGGATGTGTCTATAGCAAATCAAATCCAAACATAAAGCGAGTAAAACAAGGATAACACCAATAAAGATTTGTAAAATAGCTCGTATACAATGCCATGATCAATACATATATATATAAAATCAGAGTAAAATTACATACAAACCTCACAAATGGAAACTACAAAGGGAAGAAAGAAGAAGAATCAAAATCTCTCGCGGTGTCAATCACAATTAAAGAAGCTTCAATCCCGGATCATCGAGTTACAACCTTGATTGATGTTGTTAAAGTTCTCTAAACTCCAAAAATGTGTTTGATGAAGTTGGGGTTAAAAGATTTCAAAAAAATAACCTAAAAAAATGCTGAAAAGTGACTTAAATAGGGGCTAAAATAACGCGAACCGCGCTATGAGGGCGCTTAGGGCCATCAGCAAAATCAAAATTCTTATTTTCTTCATAACTTTTGAACCGTAGCTTCGATTGACGCACGGTCGGAAGTGTTGAAAAGCTTATTCAATTCTCTATATGAAAATGACAAAATCTCCTTGCTTGAATACCTATAAAAATAAGATAAAATAAAATTAGAAAGAATGGTATTTATTACAACCGCGCTAAGCGCGATCTCACTTTAAATACCTTTAAACCGCCTTACAGCGCGCTAAGCACGGTCCTGCTCGCACTAAGCGGGTTCAAGAAAACAAAAAATACTCCAGCTACTACCATCCAGTTCCCAGCGTCCTAAAAATTGCGCTAAGCACGAATGACAGTATTTTGACTCCAAAATTCTGCATTTGAAGCATCCCTCTTGGCTCAAACGGGTTCATACTTCAATCATGCATTATTACCTATAAAACAGATGAAAAATTGTCAAACTCAATAATATGTACACAAAAGCGCATCTTACACACTATAATGTAAACTATACAAAATATACACAACATGGGGGATTATTAACGGAAAACCAACGAGTCTAGTCAATAAGTGTCAATTATTCACACTCAAAATCAGTACAATCTAGCAATTATCACATGAGCAACCAAGCACATCGATGTGAGGTTGCATTTTCATCAGAGGCGTAATCGAGCGTGGAGAAGTTCAAGTGCTGAAGGTTTTGACAGATCATAATGTTCCTGATATGATCACCAAGATATTGCCCATTTGCAATTTTTTCCACTGTATGCAGTTGATAAAGTTGAATGAAGAAAGCTAATTTGTTTCTTGATGTTATAGAGTTTATTCTAAGGTGGAGATTTGTGAGTATTGGATCAAACTCTAGTATGACCGAAGGTAGCTTCTTGGTTCGATATTTCGACAGATGTTTAGCATGCAGCTGAAGGCCGTTCACATGTTGTTATCGAAGTAGTGTATGTTGTAGTTGAAGTAGGGTCAAACATGCAATTGTCGGAAATGTTAGACTTGTTAGCATGACGAATTAGACTTGTTTGTTATGTCCAATTGTTTAAGTTAGTTTGTACCATAAGTTAGCTTGTAATGGGTAATTGTTAAAAAGCTCATTAGTTTAGTATGTTAGATTTTATTATTAATAGCATACTAGTATCTCATCATAAGTGTGACAAATTCTAATTAGAATGAGAGAGTTATTTGTTATTTTTGAGTACATGTAATATAAATTAAAGAGAAAGTAAAGAATAATAGTTATAACCAATCTTTGTTGTTCTTCTTGTTTTTTTGTTAACTTTAACTCTTGTGTGTTTCTTTCCGATTAAAAACCGTTTATACTTTATTTTAAAACATTGTTTTTCACAACATAGACAAAGGTTACAACCAAATTAAAGGCTTGAAATACTTTGACACATATTCATCCGTGGTCAACTAACAACAACTAACAACTGTAACACTTGTTATTGCTCTTAATTATATCAATAACTAGTTTATACATAAATTGGATGTAAATAATGCTTTTCTCCATGATGGACTTCAAGAAGATGAGTACATGGTCATCTCACCTGACATAAACACTTTAAAATTAAATCAAATGTGCAAGCAGACCAACAAAAAGTAGTATGAGAAACTCATATCCACCCTTTTTAATCATGGTTACATCCAAGCCAGTGTTGATCATTTCTTATTCATCAAGAAAGAAACCATGTCATTCACCTTATTATTGGTATATATAGATAACATAATAATTGCAGAAAACTCTTTAGCGTAATTCGATAATTAAATCAGTCTTGCATCATTAGTTCAAAATAAAAAACTTGAGACAACTGAAATACTTCCTTGACTTGGAAGTAGCTCATTCCAAACAAAGAATTTCTATATGACCAGAAAAGTATTGCTTAGATCTATTATCAGACACGAGACTCCTTGGTTCTAAACCAGTTAGCACACCTGCATATCCTTTCATGAAGTTGTTCCATAACGATAGTCCTCCACAAAATGACATTCATTCTTGTAGAAGCATGATTGGTAGTCTACTCTCTTAACCATTACTAGACCAGACATAAATTCATCACTTAACAATTAAGTCATTTTCTCGCCAATACAACCACAACTCATTTCAATATAGCTGCAAAAATCTTTCGATACCTGAAACAATGCCCTGCTTGAGGTTTGTTCTTCTCACGTGATTCATCCTTCCACCTCATTAGTTTTTCAAATGCTTATTGGGGAGGATATATAGATAGCATCAATTTTAGACCAATGCTTCTTCTTAGGCATATCATTGATATCCTGGAACACTAAGAAACAATTAATCGTCTCCAAATCTTCATTAGAAGTTGAGTATCATGTATAGGTTGCAACAACATGTGATCTAAAATGGCTTGTGTATCTCCATGAAGAGATCAAGATTCCATCAATAAAACTACCTGTCTTCTATTGTGGTAACCTCAATGCCATCCATATTGCAGTTAATCATGTGTTCCATGAACCTATCAATCACTTGGAAATCAATTACCATCTTGTTTGAGGGAACCTTAAATTTGGTTTACTCAATTAGATTTATGTATCTTCCAATGACCAAATTGCTAATTTCTCCACTAAATTCCTTCTTCCTCAACCATTTCACCTTCTTTTATTTAAGTGGGAGATGATCAACATCTATCCTCCAACTTGTGGGGGGATAATACACAATAAAATAGCTACAAGTTAGTTATTTCAATAACTAATTTGTTATGCAATCTTTCCATATATAGATAGTTAGTTAGTTAACTATTAGTTAAAACTTAGTTGGAGGCTTTAATCCTATGTTTACACCCTTAGGCTGAAGCCTATGTACCCTCCTTCATGTATAAGTACCAGTTGTAATTCATCTTTTACATTTAATAAAGTTGACATGCTTTGTTCATATTACTAGGTGTTGTGTGAGATTAAAGACATCCCAAATTTCCTACAAAGTTGGACGTTTTGTACAGAATGTTACTTTTCTTTGAATCAACCATTGATTATTTATCATTGATTATACCACATTACATGGCCTAATGGGTCTATGCTTTGAGGAAGGTTTCTATTGATCATGGAAATTGGATGTTCATTTGATTTCATCATTAGTACAAAACAAACCATAGTACTCTGTGACCCGGCACAAGGAAATCAACAAAGAAAATTGTGATTTGAGCTGTATAACAGTGTAGGAGTATATCATTACAGAGTGTAAAAAATTGATTACAGGACCTAAGTTCCTCGTGTATAAATTGGATTTCAATAATCCATGTAAGAAACACAAATTACAAGTTACCAAAACAAAAACAACATAGAAGAATAATAATAAAAATGGTATAAGAACCTCAAATCAAAGCAAAATCCCTCACAAAGCAAAACAAAACATAAAATATTACAACAAAATCAAGAATTCCACATCCACCTTATAGAACAACTCCACCAACCAAAGCCATTCCAAAAACAACAAGATTCACCCACATCACCACAGCCCCTGCCTTAGATGCTTCCGCCGGCAAAACCTTCCCATCACCATCATCGCTACCAGCACTGCTACCATCACCTACCGCAGAAGAATTAGTTTTTCCAGCCTTAGGCAAACCCTTACCAGGCGCAGGGGCTAACGCCGGAGCCTTAGCCGGAAGAACAAGATCGAGAGGAAGAAGAACCTTATCAACCTGATAAATAGCAAGCTTGCTATCAGTATAAACAGTACCGGTAACGGAAGCATTCACTGCTCCGGTAGCCATACTAACTTGGTTTCCACCATAAGTAGTAACATTAAGTTGAAGCCTAGCATCATCACCCGCTTGTGTTTGAACAGGGTTGGTTAAGGTATCGAAATTTGAGATTGAGATGAATGAAGCAAGAGTGTGGAACTGTAAGAGTTCAACTTTTTGTCTATCAGATAGAGAGTTTAAGAATCCTGCTTTGAGTTTAGAGAAATCACTGTCTTCTGGTGCGAAAATTGTTAAGCCTCCTGAACCTGATGATGATGATACTAGCTGTGAGTTGAGTTGGTTGATTAATTGTGTTGTTTTGAGAAGACGAATTAGGACGGAGAATCTCTTTGCTTTTTGGAGGATGTTGATTATGTCAATGGTAGGTCCTTTTGGGATGAGGGGTGATGGTGCACCAGTTGGTGTTGTCGGTACAAGTGGAACTGTGTTTAGTCCTGGTGATGGTGCTGTTGCTGTTGTTACCGGTAAAGGCGGTGATATTGTGGTTGATGGTAATGGTGGTGATGATGTTGTTGTTGTTGGAGGTTGAGTTGGGGAGAGTTGGGCTAAAGTGGTGGTGGTGTAGAAAGTAATTGCAAGGAGAAGCAATGAGGTGGAAATTAGAGATTGTTGCATGATGTTTTTTATATTTGGTATTTTTTTGAAGTGTTGTTCTGAGATTGTGAGGGTACAGTTCTAGAAACTATTGTTTATATTGCTGCTGTGTTGTGAAGAAAGAGGGAGAAAGGGTTTCCTTTTATAGTTTAGGGATGAAAATTAATGATTGGTTAATTAGGTGCAATGTTTTGTTGCGAAAGGTGTATCTTTTGCCTATCATGAAGCTGGCGCGTCATGATAGTGTTTGATAAGTGGCGAGGGAGGTGGGATTTGTGAATGATATTAGGAAGTGTTGCAAATCAAGGTGTAGTATAAAATATAATGTATGACTATGCATGCAATGATGCAACTTTGGTGGTGTAGTATTCGATTTCACATCATTGTTACAACTTACAATCAGTTAGATGCACTTTTATTTAAAGATAAAAGTATGGTTGAAAGGGGGCGTGTTTGGATTAAGTTAGTTTGATTATCTGAGTTTCAATTCTCAAACTTGTATTAAGTTTACAAAGTATAAAATATAGTACATTTATAATATATATATATATATATATATATATATATATATATATATATATATATATATATATATATATATATATATATATATTGAATTCATACAACTATCAAAAGTCACAACTAAACTCTAACTAATTCTAACACATCATTTTTATAACCTAGATTTCGTATTTTTTTAATCAATTTTTTAAGAATATTTATCATCTTATATGATCTCTCGGAAACAAATTAATTTTTTGGCTTGATATTATTTAAATATGAATTTTTTAATAGTTTTTTTTTTTTTATGATATTCATGTTAACGACGAATTTAGCGACGGAATCTTCGTCACTATAAATTTAATTAATATATATATAATATAAAATGGTAATAAAATATTATGTGACATTCATGTCAACATCTTTATCACGTTGGTATTGTCACATATCATCTCTCGTCAGCTTCTATTAACCTACATTAACAAGAAGAATTCAAAGATGCACAAGGCGGTGAAATGAGTTATCCTTTAGAACAAACTAAAGTTGGATTAAATGAAGAATTAGGGTATTTGATAATCAGTGATATCTCTACAAACTCTCTAATGATGTACCTAACTTGAAAATATCTCAAGCATCATCCAATAGAAGATTCAAGTTAAATTCTTATATGTTTGGTATATTAGAAAAAGGACTTGAAGCGTCAGAGTGTGAAAGAGAGGAAGTGTAAAAGTTTGTCAAATTGTATTCGTCTGAAATATTGTAAAGAGATTGGGGTGTTTTCGAAAGTATCATGGATAAATATCACACACTCTTAGAATATAGAGAAACTTTCCAATTTTTAATTAAACCAATCAAAAAAAATTTTAGAATATATCTAGTTGTATCGGGAGTTGTCAAATTGATTAGGACAAACTTATCAATTGTGTAATTGATTAAAACAAATACCTAATCGATTAGATAAATCGAATCAAGTTCATAAACGATCACAACATTCTCTTAATGAGTTGTAACAACTCTCTATCTAAACCTTTCAATTTAGACATAAATAATTATTCGGTCAATCAGTTGGTCTATAGATTGTTTCCTAATTTAAACAAATTATTGGGCTATAAATAGAGAGGTCCTTAACTTTTTCAAACCATCCAAAAAGCATGAATCACCTTAATATATATATATATATATATATATATATATATATATATATATATATATATATATATATATATATATATATATATATATATATATATATATATATATATATATATATATATATATATATATATATATATATATATATATATATATATATATATATATATATATATATATATATATATATATATATATATATATATATATATATATATATATATATATATATATATATATATATCAAATCATTTCCATATTTTCACATATTTAAGCATAGCACTTTGAAAGTGTTTTTGAGTTTAAGTGAGAATTTATTCTGGATGAGAGTTATTGTGAATCAGATATTTTTAAACAAAGTATAAATATATTTCTTATTGATCAAGAAACACACAAGGGTTAGGGTTAACAAAGAAGACAAGGTAAAACAACAAGGAATAACAAGGATTGGTTATTAAACAGTTATTCTTTCATTTCTCTTAGAACAAGATTACAAGTATACAAGAATAACAAAATAACTTCTCTCTCTTAAAATTAGGATTTTATCTTCCTATTTTTCCTTATGCTAAGATTAAGAAACTAGCATCCTATTTATAAGAAAAACAGCACACTAACCTAATGGGCTTTTTAACAATTACCCATTACAATCTAACTTAGGGTACAAGCTAACTTAAACAATTGGGCTTACAAGCAAGACCTAATTCAACATGCTAACAACCCTAGCAATATTGACTAATGCATGTTAGAACAAACTTCGGCTATAATACGCATTACTCCGACAGCAGCATGCGAACATACTTCGACCTCATGCTTAATTCTTGTCGAACCAGAAGCTACCATTTGATCATACTAGAGTTCGATCCAATATCTCACAAATCTCTACCTTGGATCTAACTCTATAAGATCAAGGAACTAGTTTTCTTCATGCAGCTTTATTAACTGTATACAGTGGAAAAACTTGCAACTGGGCAACATCTTGGTGATCATATCAGCAACTTATGATCTGTCGAAACCTTCAGCACTTGGACTTCTCCACGCTCAATTACCCCTCTGAAGAAATGCAGCCTCACATCAATGTGCTTGGTTCGCTCATGATAGGCTGAATTCTTCGACAGGTGTATTGCACTTTGACTATCACATTTAATAGTGATAACTTAACCTTGAAGTTTTAGCTCCTTTACAAAACCTTCAAGCCACAATTTTTCCTTCACAGCTTCAGTTAGGGCAATATACTCTGCTTCAGTGGTTGATAAGGCAACGAACTTCTGAAGTGTTGCTTTCTTACTGATTGTTGTCCCAAACATAGTGAACACATATCCAGAAATAGATTTTCTAGAATCCATACAACCTGCATAATCAGAGTCAACATATCCTTCGATTACTGCTTTACTATCTTCACCCAAGGTTCCACCATAAATTAGGACTCTATTCAGAGACGCATTTATATACCTTAGAATCCACTTCAATGCTTGCCAGTGAGCCTTTCCAGGACTAGCCATGTACCTGCTTACAAGACTTACTGCATACGCTATGTCGGGTCTACTACATACCATAACATACATCAAAGAACCTAATGAGATAAACATACTTTTCGACTGCTTTCTATCTCTTCGGATGTCAATCCCAAGAATCCTGGACGCAACTTCCAGATCTTTCATGTCGAACTCCTTATTAAGTTCAACCTTCACCCTCATTACCTCTTCAACACTGTTGCTTTCTATTAGAATATCATCCACATAGAGCAACAAAATAACAAATAAATTACCCGGTCAAAATCTGAAGTAAACACAGTGGTCGAACTGACTTCTGATGAAACTTATGTGTGCCATGAACTTGTTGAATCTCCTATTCCACTGTCGAGGAGATTGTTTCAGTCCATATAAGGATCTATTCAGCTTGCAACATAATCTTCTTTCCCTTTTTCGACATACCCTTCAGGTTGCCTCATCAGGATTGTTTCATCTAAGTCACCATACAAGAATACAGTCTTCACATCCATCTGTTCCAGTTCAAGATCGAATTGTGCCACTGTGGAAAGAAACATTCGAATGGATATGTGATTCACAACAGGAGAGAACATATCATTGAAGACGATACCTTCTTTCTGAGTGAACCCCCTAGCAACCAATCTTTCCTTGTATCTCTTCGACGCCACTCCTTCGATTCCTTCCTTAACTTTGAAAATCCACTTACAACTGACTAACCTGTCTCCAACAGGTTTCTTAATCAGTTACCAGGTGTTGTTATCATGAAGAGATTTCATCTCATCATCTATGGCCTTCAGCCATTCAGTCTTCTTTCGACTCCTCATAACTTCCTTATAGTCTCTAGGTTCTTCATCTAGAATCTCACTAGCAGAGGTTAAGGCATAAGTTATAAGATCTGTATACCCAAGTCTCTGAGGTGGCTTGATGACTCTCCTCGACTTGTCTCTTGCTAGCAGGTAGTCATTATCAGTCTCCTCATCTTTGACAATATCTTCTGCGTCTTCTTCAACTTCATCTGGGGTACACAATTTAGCATCAACATGCTCCACCTCAACAAGAATCTCTCCCTGTTGCAGCTTTTCGTCAACATCATTAGTTTTCTTGAAATCCATCTCTGCTTCATTGAAAACTACATCTCGACTGGTGATACACCTCCTATGATCTGGCCCTAGCCACCATAGCCTATAAGCTTTGACTCCTTCAGGATATCCCATGAACATGCATTTCAGAGCTCTAGGTTCGACCTTGTCTTGCCTAATGTGAGCATAGGCCATACAGCCAAATACTCTCAGTCTGTCGAGACTAGGTGGATGTCCCGACCAAACTTCTTCAGGTGTCTTCACTCCTAAGGCAGTCGAGGGAAATCTATTTATCAGATAAGTTGTTTTCGAAACAGCTTCCGCCCAAAACACCTTCTTCAATCCAAAACTAACCAACATGCATCTAACCCTTTCAAGGATTGTTCGATTGAATCTCTCAGCTAAGCCATTTTGTTAAGGAGTATCTGCTACAGCCTTAGGCCTTACAATCCCATACTCAACACAGTAACCGTCGAACGTTTCGTTGCAGAATTCAAGGCCATTGTCGGTTCTCGACCTCTTAACCTTTCTACCAGTTTGAGTTTCGACCAGAATCTTCCAACTTTTGAAATTCTCAAAAGTTTCATCCTTCATCTTCTGAATGAATACCCATAGCTTTCTGGAATAGTCATCAACAATGGATAGAAAATACGATACACCTGAGTGTGAAGGATTTCTTGCAGGCCCCCAAAGATCAGCATGAATGTAATCTAGGG